TCATTGTTGTTTGGCGGGTCCGGGCTGGGGATTCGAACCCGCCACCTTAGGTGTACGTGGCTGGCGCCTTAGCCGGTTGAGCTATAGGCGCCGAGCCTAGAAATGTATTTTTATAAGACTTGCACTGAAGACAATGAACATAAGTTCCTGATGGAGATAGAGAGGTGATGGAAGACAATGTGGTGTTTTACTTCTAAGTCCGTAAGCTATACGATGTGAAGTTTGATCATAAAAATACAGTCATCAAGTGATGTTCAATACAAAAGAAATATAATACTTAACAAAAAGTAGTGTAATCAGAATTTGGTTCCATCCTTTCTGATGACAGAAAGTCCTGCTCCTATATCTTGGCTAAACAATAGCCATTTTTATCTAAACACCTGACGCGTGAGAATTTCTCATTGAACAGCAAGGTCTTCATGAGATGGATGTATTGTGAAGAAAGAACCTCCTGCTGTTAGATAATTAGGTTGATTCCATATTTTAAAGCCAATTGTAAGAAAAACCACCTCCTCTATATCTAATATCTATTTCTGAACTTTCCAGTCTATCCCAAATTATTAATATTTTGGAGCCAGAAACATACTAATTCAAGTGTTTCAAATGCGTTTAAAAAATCAAGCAAAGAGAGGGTCTCCCGTCAGTCTTCTTTTCTAAAGTTTTCCAGATGTTTGTGCACATTAGTAAGTCACTTACAATGCCAATTCTTTAATCCTGGCTTATAAACAGCTGAAAGGGTGTCCAGATAGGGTCTTTACACAGCCTCTACTACCCAATCTCACTGACACCATGGAGCCTACTCCCCATTTCCAATCCATCCCTGGGTAACCCTTTCTGGAACAATCATCTAAGTGGGCTTCTTCCCCAATTCCATTGCTAAGTCACAGTGAGATAGAATCTATATGGAGGTAGAACTGAGGAAAGGCCCTGGGTGTAAGCATACCTGTTATGCTTCAGCAAGCCCAAAATATGGCATTTCAGGAAGAAGCGAGAAGACAGCACAATCAACCAAGAATATGACTTTTACCTGGCAAAGTGCCATTCCCTCCTCTTCTTTCTTTGCTCTTCCTCTGGATTTCTTTCTCAGGTAAGATTAGTCTGTGTGTCAAAAATATATTGTCTGATGCTTAGAATCAATATATCCCCTTCCTCTGCTTCAAGTACACACACACACACACACACACACACACGGGGAGAATGTTAATAAAGAAAAAAGATGGTCTTTAGCTGCCCACTGCAATAAGATGGTTTCAAGAACAATAAACTCCTACAAAGAGACCTATTGGTAAGTTCTTCCACCTCCTTCTCAAAAACTCCTCTCTTCTTGCTAAAATCCATACATTCTGCTTAAACTGCTTTGTCCTTTGTCTACTTGACACCCCACCAAAGAGAACTGCCTTGTTCAAGTTCATGCCCTCTCCCTGGACAGTCAGTATACAATGGACTGGTCAGTGCAAGATACAAAAAGCTGTCTCTTCCCTCAATTTGAACAACTCTGAAGAGTCAACCCAACTCCAGAGCACCCTGAAGTAGCCATACTGAAGAGTTTAAAGTTTTGTTCCGAAGGCAAAAGAAACCATAAAAGAACTTAATGCCAGGAGTTGACACAAACTTAAGACTTAACTCCTGATGCAGAGAGGAAGAAACTGCTCAGTCTCTGAGCCTATGCTCCTGGCTCTTTCATCATGGTTTTTATCATCTCTGGAGGACTGAGAACCATTTTAGATTCTAATTATAACTCTCTCAAAAAAACTGCCACATGTGCATATATACTTAACGTTGAAAATCATTTCAGGGATCCCATATGCTCAGATTTAGAATTTTTTTTTTTTTTTTTGAGACAGAGCCTCAAGCTGTCCCCCTGGGTAGGGTGCCGTGGCATTACAGCTCACAGCAACCTCCAACTCCTGGGCTCAAGCGAGTCTCTTGCCTCTGCCTCCCAAGTAGCTGGGACCACAGGCGCCCGCCACAACGCCCGGCTATTTTTTGGTTGCAGCCGTCATTGTTGTTTGGCGGGTCCGGGCTGGGGATTCGAACCCGCCACCTTAGGTGTACGTGGCTGGCGCCTTAGCCGGTTGAGCTATAAGTGTCGAGCCAGATTTAGAATTTATAGTCTATTCCATTAACTCTCTGTTACAGTTGAGTACACAGAGGGTCAGAGAGGGGAGTCATTTCACTGAGTTACCCTGAAGCAGTCTGAGTTAAGTGAATGTAACTAAGTTGTGAATGAACACAGAAAGGAGAATGGGTACCTATGGGAACATCTACTTAGTAGGAGACTTTAGCTCAGAGCTGGCTAATTAACAGATCACATGAGGGAAGAAAGAAACTAAATACCCTTAAACATCACCCAGGTGAGGGGTACTGACGTCTTACACAGTCAAAATCTCTGTATAATTTTTGACTTCCCCACAACTTAACTACTAATAGCTGCCTGTTTGCCTCACCAATAATATAAACAGCCAATTAACATATATTCTATGTTATATATATTATATATGTATTCTTACAATAAACCAAGCTACAGAAAAGAAAACGTTATTAACAAAATCATAAGGGACTGGGCACCCTGGCTCACACCTATAATCCAAGCACTCTGGGAGGCTGAGACAGGTGGATTGCTTGAGCTCAGGAGCTCAAGACAAGCCTGAGCTAGAGCGAGACCCCATCTCTAAAAAAAAAAAAAAAAATAGCTGGGCACTGTGGTGGGCCTCCTGTAGTCCCAGCTGTCAGGGAGGCTAAGGGAAAAGAGCTTTGAGCCCAAGAGTTTGAGGTTGCTATGAGCTATGATGCCAAGGCACTGGTCCAAGGGCGACAAAGTGAGACTCTGTCTCAAAAAAAAGAAAAGAAAGAAATCATAAGGAAGTTAAAATATATTATTTACCATTCATTAAATGGAAGTAGATCATCATAAAAGTCTTTATCTTCGTTGTATTTATATTTAATAGGTTGAGGAGGAAGAGGTAGAGTTGGTGTTCCTGAGGGATGGCAGAGCCAGAAGAAAATCTCCCATATAACTGGACCTGTGCCGTTCAAACCTGTGTTGTTCAAAATCAACTGAATTAAACTAACTGCTTAGACTAGATTTTTAGTGTTAAAGATTATCAACTTACAAGTGAAACACTGGGAAATCAAGACAGAGACTTATTTGGTATCTTCTTACTAGACACCAATAACAGTTCTGATGGATTAAGAGTAGAAAGTATTTAAGCTCATAATCTGAAACATACATTCAAGAGAGAAGACAATTTGGAAATTCTTTAAATACCTAGTAAGTTCTAAGACTAAATTCTAAACAAGTATATGTCAAAGTTAGAAAAGAATGATACAAGCCACAAAAAGAGTAGAGTACAAGATTGTGAATGTTCATTTTAGAAAACACCATGTGGTGCCACAGTCATTCCCCATTTCTTGCACTCCCCTCTCCCAAAATCAGAGAAAGGGAAAAGGGTGATCTGGAATTAACTGATTTAAGTCAGTTATTCCTCTGGCTGAATAGAATTTGCAAATGATATTCTCTTCTGATGCAGTAATTAGAAAATTCACAAGGCTCACACACCTGGTTTTGCAATTATCATTTTCTTTTGCATAATTTAAACAATTTAATAAAACTTAATTATAGAGCCACATGTCAGCACATCACCACATAGTGTTCTGTATTAAATTAACATTCATCTGGATTTGGTTTCCCCACTTTCTCTATTACGCTGTGTTTTTCTTTCCTCTCTGTAAATTTCTTTCTCTCTTTCTCCCCCTTTTTTCTCCTTCTCTTTTCCATGTTTCCTTCTCTCCCTTCCTGCTCATTTTGTTTCCCTTTCTCTCTATTCTTCCTCCCACAGGTTGTCTGGACTGCTGCAACCTTTGTTTCAACCCCTGAGATTCTTTCTTTCAAAACGATCTAATTGCCCTCTAACTCCGCACAGTCTCTTTTTCTCCCCCATTTCTGTTTCCTCTCTGTTCTCCTTGAAAAGAGGCCAATAGATCGAGGATTTTATCCGGCGCGGTTGGCAGCGGGAAGAAACGGGAGTCAAAGAAGGGTTTTCAGCAGGGAAACTATGCGGCGGGTAGTTGGTGGCAAAAAAATCTGGGCCGGTGTCCAGAACTCACTTAAGATTTTAACAGAAATGCGCGCAGACCTCTGGACCAGCTTGGAGCTACAGGACTCGGAACGTCCTAGGGCCACACACCATCCAAGGGACTAGCAGGCTCGGGGGAGTTAACCTACAGGGCAGCCCCTGGAACCAGGCTGTGGAGATAGAAACCCGACGCCCGCGAAACGCAGGTATGAACCAGAAAGAAGGAGACTTCTCACCCCAGCGCGCCTGTCACCCCTCGGCATCTGCTTCCGGGTCTGCAGGCGACCGCAGTTGCGCAAACAGATCTGCGGGTAACAAGGGGCGGTGCCAGGCGGGACGCCGACAGGGGTGGGGCCTGGGCTGAGGGATGCCGCGCTAGGGGCGTGGGTTTAGGACCTCTCCGCAGCTCAGCTCCGGTGCTTAGCTAGATGTTTGTTTTGTTTTGTTTTCTTCCCTTCCCTTCCTCTCCCTTCCCCCAACCCCTCCCCTCCCCTATCCTCTTCCTTCTCCTCCCCTCTCCCTTTTCTTTTCTTCCTTCTCTCTCTCTTTCTTTCCTTTCCTCCCTTTCTCCTCTTCCTCTCCTTCCTTCTTTCTTTCTCACTCTCTTTCTCTCTTTTTCTCCCTCTCTCTTTTCTTTTTTTCTTCTGATGTCACTAAAATTTTACGGTTCTAAAATGTAGCGGGGCTCCCATTATTATTTTTTTAAATTTCAGATTAGTATGAGGGTACGATTAGGTTGCAGTGTTTGCATTTGTTAGGTAAAGTTCCTGTTGTGGTTGTGTCCCCCCCAGGAGGTGTGCCATGTACCCTTCCTTACATCGTGCCCATTAGTTGTGAGCACACCCATTTTGCTTCCTCCTCCCCTGTTCCCTATGCCCCTCCCTCCCCCCCCCAGCTGGAATAGAATTGATTTTTTTCTCTTGTGTGGACATGTATTAGTTCATCTCCTGGCTTCTTGTTGGTATTGTATGTTGGATACGTGCTTTTTCATTCTTGTGATACTTTATTAAGAAGAATGTGTTTCATTCTCACCCGGGTTAATACAAAAGATATAGATTTGTTTGTTTCTCCACCCTGGAGTACCTGATTCTTTGCTTTTGGGTTCCTTTGAGTCTCTTTGGTGTCCTTTGCAGCCAGGGTACTAAAACTTAAGAGACTTCTATTTCTACTGTCTATAAGACTTGGCGTGATCTGCTTTTTTTTTTTTTGAAATTATTTTTTACTTTTATTTATATATATATCAGTCATCTTATTTTTAGACTTTGGTAAAAACATAATAAGGAAAAAAATTGTTTGCTATTTGTATTTTGTCTTGTGTATTCTGTAACAAACAGGTAGTAAATGATTATGTATTCAAAAAAAATTGCACAGCTCTTGTTAAAGCTATATTGATAGGTACTTTCTATTTTGGTTGCTGATACAATGCTATCTTTCTTTTTGTAACATTATTTTGTAATTCTTTTTTACATAGGAACATAATTGATTTTGTATAGTTACTTTGAAGTTAGCTACATTGCTGAATTTTTCTATTGTTTTTGGTAACTTGCAAGTAACTTGGTAACTCGGAAGTAATGAAATTTGTATTTTTTTACAAACCATTGGGATTTTTAAGTTATCATAATTGTATTAGCTAGGATGGTCAACTTTACTAGGAGTGGTGGTAATGAGTACACTTATCTCATAATTGGTTTGTAGATAATGCTTTTGTTTCCTCATAAAATTGATATATTTGTCCCAATGTTATTTTCAATGATTATGTCAATGTTTTGCCTATAGTTGATGTTCTGTAAATATTCATGGAATAAAGGAGCCTGAAAAAAAAAATTTAAGAGACTGGTGGGCCACTTATGTTGGAACCTGAGATGGTCCTTTCGAGTTGAAAATGGTTTACATTAATTTTGTTCTTTGAGGTTTTGTTGTTGTTGCTGCTGCTGTTTTTTGAGCTATGCTGACATTGCTTAACAAAATATGTGGTTTATATTGGGAACAATTTTTTTTTTTTTTTTGAGACAGAGCCTCAAGCTGTCCCCCTGGGTAGAGTGCCATGGCTTCACTGCTCACAGCAACCTCCAACTCCTGGGCTCAAGCGAGTTTCCTGCCTTAGCCTCCCAAGTAGCTGGGACCACAGGTGCCCGCCACAATGCCTGGCTATTTTTTTTTGGTTGCAACCATTATTATTGTTGTTTGGCGGGCCCGGGTGGGATTCAAACCTGCCACCTTAGGTGTATGTGGCTGATGCCTCAGCCACTTGAGCCACAGGTGCCGAGCCGGGAACAATTTTTTAAACTAGTTAAATAGCATGGATAATAATATGTTCCCCTTGATTCTTCCTTGTTTCATCCTGGCTTTGCAGTAACATAACCCCTTCATTAGTTAGAGCTGCATCTTTTCAGACCATTTTACATACATGTAAGGTGCATGATAATACACATAGTAATAACATTCAGTGCACTGTTATTCCACACTAATGCTTTACATAAATACTGCTGCTTGATTTTCTAAACCACAGTACTTTCTAGAGGTATTTTCTACTATTAAAGTATATGAAAAAATGTATGAATGTACTCAAATTTATTAAGGAATTTTGTCATTTTAGACTTTCTATGTTATTTAATTTGTATGTGTTAGCTAGAATATACAATGATTCCATCATTGTACTTCTTGGATTTTTAAACAGGTGTGTTATCTCAGTGTCTGAAAGGTGGCACTGATGACTTGTAGGGTATACAGACTGTTATGCCCAGAATCTCTCAAAGACCACACCACTGGACAAGTCAAATTCAACGAGGAATCCTTTTATTGAAGAGCCAGCTGACAATTGCCTCAGTGTTCCAACGTGGGGTTTCTGAAAGCAACCCCGAGTTGTCTGTGGCTCTGGTTTTTATAGGGCAAAATTTTTCGGGGCGGTGGGGGGGGGGGCGGCAAGTAGGCATTATTACAGAAGTGAAAACAGCAGTTAAAGGGGTAGGAGGAATCATGAGTGTAGGCTGTTAGTCATTTTACAAAATGCTATGAACATGAGAACAATTAGTGATTATTCTTCCTTACAAAATAGGTACAAACCACAATGTCCTAGGGGGGAAATGCAGGGAGGGGAACTTACAGGTAAGGGTTGTAAAGAGCATGATCACAAAAAGGTATAATCACTATGGCCACAATCACAAGCAAATGCATTTACAGTTACACAATGGGAGGGCAAAAGAGAGGAACTAGTTTTGAAGGTAAAAGGGAGTGAATAGTAAAATGGAGTCAAGCTTGTTCTTTTAACATTTCAATATCATATAGGGATGGTATGAAGACCACCTTAACATAATCACGAGGATTGTTGTCAAGAGGGTAGTGACTTTCTACCCAATACCAATAATTCTAACAGTTCTAACCAGGTACACTTAAAATATCATGCAATGGGCCTTGAGGGAAGTGGAACCTGTTTATTTATTTATTTTTTTTGTTAAAGCAACAAAATGTAACAGAACAACAGAATGGAGTCAGGCCTGCTTTGCTTCCCCACTGATTCTCAGGAATAAGAGTTACAACAAAATGCAGTTAGGCCTGCTTTTCTTTCACCCTAACAATACTAGTTATATCCTAATACATCAAAAATTGCCCCAAAACTGAGCGGCTTATGAAATAACTTAGGAGATCTGGAAAAATAGAGTCGGACCCCCCCTTAGGTTAATCAATTGGTAATTTATTTTACCTGCTGCAGGGGCTGCTGCTCTGAGAGACAGCAGGGAAGAAGGGGGTGGGCTCCTTTTTATAGGTTGGTGCAAGCATACTACAGAAGCAAAACGTGGCTGGTTAAAGGGGGGGTTACAGCTCGGGTAGTCATGGATATAGCAATAGTAATGCAACAATGATTAATACAGCTTCAGTTGACAATGGATACATCTCATATCACAATGGTTACGGTTATACAACAGTAATTAATCAAGTTTTCGTGACTTTTCCACCGTTGTTCATCTACTGAGAACTTGAGGGTTTTGTGAAACTTGGGAGTTTTCTTCCTTGTTTGGAAGCTTGTTCTTGGCAACTCTAGGGGGAAGGAAGGGCCTGGGAATGTGGTTGGGAAGCACATCTGGGCAACCCTGGAGGGAGGAGGGACTTGCCTTGTTCCCCGAGTGGACTATGGGGGGAGAAGGGAGGAGGAGGGAAATGGGCTGGAGAGGGCAGGGGACAGGAGAGGGCAGGGAGGGGGGAACAGGTGAGGGTGGGGGGAAACAGGAGAGGGCTGGGGAAAGAGGGCTGGGTTACAACACTTAAAACTATAAGTTTCTGTTATCACATAATTTCTGACAGCCAGAAAGCAGGGAGCTGTTAACTGGATGGTTCTAGTTCAGTGGCTGGCATGAAGTGGTGGTCACACTGTCTACCACACTGTAGTCATCTGAAGACATTATTTATTTCATTTTTTGAGATAGTCTCACTGTGATGCCCCCAGTAGAGTGCTGTGGCATCACAGCTCACAGCAACCTCAAACTCTTGGGCTTAAGCGATTCCCTTGCCTCAGCCTCCCAAGTAGCTGGGATTATAGGTGCCCGCCACAACACCCAGCTATTTTTGGAGATGGGGTCTTGCTCTGGCTAAGGCTGGTCTCAAACCAGTGAGCTCAGGCAATCCACCCACCTCGGCCTCCCAGAGTGCTAGGATTACTGGCAGGAGCCACACTGCCGGCATTGACTTTGGATCTTTAGATTTCTTCTGAAGACACATCATGAGAAAACAATGAACATATTAGAGAATGACTACATTATCATCTTAGGAAATAGAATGCTAGGCTAGGGATGGTGGCTCACACCTGTACTCATATGCTAGGCTAGGATGGTGGCTCACATCCTAGCACTTTGGGAGGCCAATATGGGTGGATTACTTTACCTCAAGAGCTGGAGACCAGCCTGAGCAAGAGCCAGGCCGTGTCTCTACTAAAAATAGAAAAACTAGCTCAGCACTGTGGCATATGCGTATAGTCCCAGTTACTTGGGAGGCTAAAATAAGAGGATTGCTCAAGCCCAAGAGTTTGAGGTTGCTGTAAGCTATGATGTATGGCACTATTGCCAGGGTGACAAAGTGAAACTCTGTCTCAAAAAGGAAAAGAAAAGAAATAGAATGTTCGTGGTCAAAATACCATAAATGTAAGAAAATAAAAGGGTTGTGGTTCTGTTACTAGACTAAGGAGTCCATCTGCATGTCACCCAAGCCAATCAAAAGAGAAGAGGATGAGAGATCAACAGTTTCAACTTTTATTTACAGAAAACCCAGCAATT